TCAAAATGTGCACTTGGAAAAAACCCCTATACCCTGACCCAAATTCTTGATGACGTCAATAGTTAGCGTATGATACTTCTGTAATTCAGAACAGCCGATTGTCGGATCCAATGCCCGAACGGAGACCCATTTTTTAGGACAGGTCTCCACAAATACCGAGGCAGGCAAGAGCCCTCGGGATCCCTAGGAAAATACCCCCCCATAAACGAGACTCCCCCTTGGGTGAGGGTTTCACGCACCTACGGTACGCTGTTTCTACGGTGATATTTCGCCTTCGGGGGGGTGGTGCCCCGTTTAATCTCCCTGCGATACGGCATCGTCAGGAGGAGGTTTGCTCCTTGCCCTGTGTACGTGGATCTGGTACTCCTAAGAGGAGACTCAATCTCCGATGTACCGGTAAAGGATGGCGACCTTGATTTCAAAACGCTCGTTGGTACAATACCGTTAAGGCGTAGGTCTGCTCCCTGTCCGTTTCGTTCTCTCTTTGATATCCGTTGAAGAAAACCGAAGTTATTGGACCCTTATTGTTCACGGAGGGGAAAAAAAAAGAACACTAATCACCCAAAGAATCCTTCCGTCACTTCCTGGGGTGCGTTCCAAAACGTAACTTTAGTTACTAAAAAAGCTATAGTTTACGTTACGTTAACTATAGATTTCAATTACCAAAGTTGCGTTTTGGAACGCACCCCTGGGTGGTACCTTTCGGGGAAGTCTCGAGTCGTCCAAATGGTTCCCCCCTTTTTTTTCTCCCCCCATTTTGTAAATTCTCTCGAAGCACCCAAATGGGTCCCTCTTCTCATCCAGAAGTCTCACTCAAATGGTGATGCCTTTTCTTCTTGAAATGGTATGTTTCCTGTACCCGATATAATTATCAAGAACCAATGATCGTGTTCATCTGACTCAACTGTTGTGCTGCCGATCCGTTAGCCTTCGCTGTTATTGGTTAATCTAGAAGAATGCACTAATAGCAGCGAATGCTCACGGTTCTGCATCACAATAATTGAATCTGCTGAACGCCACCAATCACGTCAGGTTTTCGCGTTTTCTCTCCCTGCAAACGCTACGTGTGCTTTATTCCGAATGGATTTTTATCTTGTAAAAAAAAAACCCTTCATTTCTGGTGTTCGATATCATTTTGGTGAAACAATCATGTCAGGTTGTCGCGTTTGCTCTTCTTACATGCAGCACGTCGGAATTTTCCCGAATTCCGCTTCTAATGCTGGATTCACACTGCATCCAATTTACATCCTACGACTCTCTGCAACCAATCAGAAAACAGGATTCTAATGATACGTAACAAAATCCATCGGATTCCTGTTTTCTGATTGGTTTCAGAGCGTCGTACGATTCAAATCGGCAGTCTGAATCCAGCCTAATATTACGACGCAAATCGGATGCAGTGCGAATCCAGCATTACATCCTTCGCACGGCAAAGTTGAATTGGTGACTCCTGTATACTGGACGCAGAAATGATTGCCGCGCTGCAAAATGTGATGCTTTAGCCAATAAGCTTACAGCTCCTAATGTGTTTATTGGTTACCGCGTCTCATGTTGCCGCGCGGCAATCGTTTCCGCGCCCAATGTGCAGGGTATCGATCGTGAAACTTTTTTTCTAGAATGGAAAGTTAAAAATTTTTCCATTAACTTTAATGGTTAAAATTTTCACTTTTTACCTTCCATCCTAGGGATAAAGTTTCATGTGGTCTGTTCGCGTTGCATAAAATCAAATATTTTGCACTTAAAATGCGACAGATTCATATTTTACCTTAAAAGAGAGAAGCTAAAATGCAAAATCCATCGAAATCCTGTTTTCTGATTGGTTGCAAAGCGTCGTGCGACGCACTTCGGATGCAATGTGAATCCAGCATAAATGTATATGAGCGGAACTTTGCCATTCGAACGCCGCCTACCGAACACTATCAATACCAGTTCAGTAACCTAATTTTGATCACACTTTTCAAAGCCTGGTTCGACCTCCTTTCTCTATACTCCATGGTTTCGGAATTGTTTAGAGTGCGAACGATTCGAGGCGAGATTCGGATCAACAGCTACGTAAGCTACATTGTGCTACATTAGTTCCATTCACTAAATCAGTTTTGCAAACGTTTTGTGATTGTCTGCTGAAATAGGATTATTCTTCTAGATCTAAAATCTATAATCCAATCAGCGCGAAAAAAACGTCTCACAGTTGCAAATTAAACGTTCTGCTGAAGCCACTGTATTACGCTCCTAATTACCGTAATCGCTAGATGTCAGTGATAATGACGGCCAAGCTTCAAGACGACATGAATAGTATACCTCTGGCAGATGATGATCCGCAAGGTGAGAGCGTAGGGCGTAGAGTCCCTGATTTCACGATTCCTCTTGACATTCTCTCTCTCTCTCTCTCTCTCTCTCTCTCTCTCTCTCTCTCTCTCTCTCTCTCTCTTTCTTTATATTTAATTGATGGATGGAATTATAACTTAGCTCATTTCAAGCAGTCTACATCATTTATTCCGGTCTTTGTTCCGAATGTTATTTAATAATGTTATTCATTTATGACTAAATTTGATAACTTAATCTGTCTGTTTCTTATTTTTGTTTATTTACACATAGGTATTGTTTTTATTAATATGAGAATTAAATTAGCTGCATCTAATTGTGAACTGTAACAATGTAACAATGTGTACTCCATTTCTCGGAATTAAATATAGAAATTGAGATAATAAAAATGTAGAGACATAGAAATACAAGAGATATTGGAACTTTTTATTATTTATCTCACAAATTATCTTGCTTAGAACTTCATTAATATTTTTTACATTTTATACACTTAACAATTTGCTTGTACTTTAATAATAATGAGCCTCTTTTTTTATCCCGGTTGTTGAGATTTAATATTTTACTCTAATATTATTCTTTGCTTATATTATTATAGTAATAATACCAGAAGAGGAAATCTTGGACAATGCGTCACATATGTCTGATCCGTTAGGCAGAGGACGCAGCATGGATTCTATACCATCGACATTTACTAACGGCAGCTGTAGTCCTAACAGTAAGTAATATTATTGATTTGTTCTTTCATTATAATTTGTTTTTGTATTGGTCTTTCGTTATATGTCTTTATATATTTTGTCTTTTTTCAACTATATATACATAGGAATATTAGCTTATTTTGTATTTATAAACTGAACAAAATAACATTAAATATGCAATATATTGACTTTTATTATTCAATTATTATATACAGTTAAATAAAAATTTGCTTCTATAAATGATTGTAATACTGTCAAATTAAAATACTTTGTAAAAATGATTTATATTTATTATAGGTTTAGATCCTGATATTAGTCCAGATGAGCAAGAAGAGAAAGCTAGATTGATTGCACAGGTTCTTGAATTGCAAAATACTTTGGATGGTAGATATATATTTCACTAAAGATCAAAGTTACAAGAAAATATCCCTATTGGCATTTTTGTAATATGCAAATAATACGTTTTAGATCTGTCACAGAGAGTGGACAGCGTAAAGGAGGAGAATCTCAAGCTGAGAAGTGAGAATCAGGTTCTGAGCCAGTACATTGAGAATTTAATGTCGGCATCGAGCGTATTTCAGTCGACAAGTCCCAATACCAAAAAGAAGTAAACCACATCATATTAATCAAATAATTAGACAATTTATGAAAATAAACTATAAGTGATCTCTCCCTCTCTCTCTCTCTCTCTCTCTCTCTCTCTCTCTCTCTCAAAGTAATTGCGATTGTTTTGAGTATTTTGGAAAGTTTCCGCATGCATGAATTTTATTTCAATTTACATTTATCAAAAAATAACGCAAAATCTTTAAGTCTCAATATTTGATGCTTAATTTGCCTTCGTCAACTTGTATACACTTTCTATGAAGAAAAAAAAAAAAATTTCTGACAATTTACCTTTTTTTTAAATATATAATACCACAGTGTATTCTGTGACTGTGTGACTTGAAACATGCTTATAATTATGATTGTATACGCCAAAGAGATGTATTTTATACTTTTACAATTTATATAAATGTATTTCGCAAATTATTTTAGTTAGATGTTTGTTAAGTAAAGATTAATTATTTTACTGCAATTTTTTGCTTAATTTTCTTTAAATTAAGATTAGATTATTTTCTATTAAATTAATGCACATAGCAGTACTAATATATATATTTGTTAACCTATATATAATAACGTGACATTTAGTTCAAGCATTGTGTGTGTGTGTGTGTGTGTGTGTGTGTGTGTGTGTGTGTGTGTGTGTGTGTTTGAAGTAAATAATATATATGAAGCCCCAAGTAGAAATATTTCTAAATAATTTAATTTTTTTCTTATTTCTTGTATACATTTAATACACACTTAATTTTAATTAACAAATGTTTTTTGTACAATTACAATTACAATTACAAATTCATCTCTCTTTCATACATTTGCTTCTCATATTTGTATATAGTTTTCAAAGATGCACATTTTATATTTATAAAGCTGGGTATCAAAACGTTCGAAGCCATACATATTTTTCATTGGGGTATTTGCTTCTTCAATAGAAAATTCTTGCTTACAACGTTTTAACATATTTATATATATGCATTATATATAGATATATAAGTGATAATGTAGAGAAGATATATAAGAATATAAGAGAGATATATATGTAAGAGATAATGTATAAGAATATAATATTATGTACAATTTTTTTTAAATACGCTATAATTGTTGTATTAACAAAAAGCTAATGTTTGTGCATATAATATAAGCAAAATAATCACAACTTCTGCTATTTACGAAACGATTCCAGTACACAATAATCGTCGTACGTAAACAATCTTGCTTAATGATTTGATTTACCGATTGACATGTAATAACAAATATGTATCTACTATGAATAAGAAATTGCAACTTGCAATAGTTTTAGTTTAAGTATACAAAAAGAATGCACAGTCCCAAATTTGAGTATCCCATTATGTTGAGTAACACAGTGTTATAATAAACATATTCTATTGGAATATTATTGTTCGATGATTATCGATTCCTCTGAATGTTTTTCTTTTTCTTTATCATACGACATCGTTGCAGCTCATAGAACACTCGTTCATCACCGTCTTGAATTTCTTTCCGAGAAAGTTTACGTAACGAATGAATTATCGAAAATAAGAGGCATACCCTGTAAAGCGTGTTTGTATTTTGAAAAAGTTTCAAATTAACCAATTAATCCTCTTGGATAGCCGAAAATTGTATAGCCTTTTGTCCCCAAAATGTTTTCGACCCAGGCTTTGCTCGTCCATTTTTCTTTATTCCTATCCACCATCCATATTGCACATATTTACGCGATCTGAACGCGTCGTAGGAACCAATGCTCCATTGTTCCCATTCGGTGTTTTCATTAGCCATATTTATCTAAAATCAAAATTAAACAAATTATATATTTACAATCAATCTCGACCATCTTTTTGAGATTATTATTAATGAACTTCTTGTTGAGAGAGAAAATTTATCAACTAATACGGTTAAACAAAATTGATTTTTAAGCTTAAATGGAATTTACTTTTTACTAAATTTACAACTATAATATACGTGCGTGCGTGCACTATTAATTACGAATTTAAGCCAATTTTAAGATATATATTTAAAAGTATTTTATTAAATATTATCTACATAGAATTAAATCAGAGAAATTATTGTAAAAATTATAGAACGTTGTGAAATGGTCGCAAAGGAATTTCACGTGGAACTTCATATATGTATATATATATGTGTGTGTGTGTGTGTGTGTGTGTGTGTGTGTGTGTGTGTGTGTGTATAGAGCACTTTATAAAATTTATATATATATATAATTTTACAGATATGAATAGTATAGCACTCGACGAGCAATTGTGCTATACTGTTCTACATTTCTTTCATTGTAAGAATTTCTTTCATAATATAATGAAAATTTGCAGGGAGAGTTTACTTGTACGTATCTTTATTTTTATAGTTTCGTATTTTTTTTTGGCATCTTACCTCTCCGTACAACCGCCCTTTCTTGTTGAATGCCAAATACAGCCTCGTTTCGATGCTTTGTATTCTAATAACGCCAAAAGATACCGGCGTTGCGTAAAGCAGATCTGCAAGGGTATATAAACTTTTGTGTGTGTAATAAAAATCTTTCTTAATGGTGATCATATGTGTAAATCGTTATTGTAAATACATAATATAACATATACATGTATTGCAAACGTTTTTTTTATTTTACTTGACTTAATATTTAACAATTAAGTGTGATGGAAATATACCATATGGCTCCTTGTTTCCGGATAATCCTTCCACTCGTCCCGATGGCGTAATTGCTAGATGATATCCGGTGCGACAGTACAACTTAATTATCCGGCAATTATAGATAGGATTTTTTGCTGGTTGTCGTGGATCCCATATTATATAAGGAGGATATTTGCGTGATTTGCAGTTACGTTCATTGTTGCGTGGCGTTCTACAATTGCAATCAAATAGTCCATGGATTATCGATGTATATATCGTTACATATTATACGTAACGTGAGCAAAAATAGGAAATAAACTTATGAATTTCTAACGAAAAGTTCAAATTTTTGTCAAAGCATATATAAGCCTCAAAATTTTATCATAAGGAATTAGTTTCACTAATATTAATACAGGACGATTAATACAGGATATTTAACGCATTTTGAAAAATATTCTTTTATACGCGCGAATATTATTAAGTTTTAATAAAAATATTGACAATAATTATATATCTTTCACCAATAATTAACTGAAAGTGAATTGTTTAAATGCTACATTAATTTTGACGAAACTTTATTTCTATTGTGCACGCTAAATTAATATTTTATTATATTTCAATATTATGCATTTTTGACATAATAGTACATATTTCTTGACATATTTCTCTTCTGACGTACTACACTTCTTAAGCCATTGGACGTTAGGGTCTCCTTTATCACTATAGAGGTTGTTTGTACATTTATACACGCTGCAAAATTTATAGGCCAATTTTTCCAGGTCAGCAAGCCCCGTGAATGAAGCACACCACGCGATATCGTAGGCGTTCTCGCGTACTTTGTTAATTTTAAACCGATTCTCGAGGGAGAGGAAACGAAATGTCAATAGGCTTTGTTCGAGATTATAGTTACGCGAACAGCTCAGTCGCCATTAGAAGACGTACGTACGTTATAATACGATTAATTTTACATGGTTTCAATGATGTAGTCATGCGATATTTGCAATAATATTACATGTAAATAAAATTTATTTTTATGCAAAAATATTGAAAGGTGTACATTTTAGAAGAAATTATTAAATAATTGTTCTTCAGAGAGAGAAATAGGTTTTTTTTTTTTTTTTCTTAAAAACGAACAGTAAGTTTTTTCCTCTTTTTTTTTTATAGAAGTTTCTTTGCAGAAAAAAGGTCTCACTTGTAAAAGACACATGTTAATTTGGTGCATTATTTTTCTTTATATATATGATATATATATATATTCACATACACACATATAATACTTTGCTTTTGTTTAAAATAAAGGTAAAACTTCGGAAAAGCTACAGCGTCTACAATTTTAATGCAAATACATTTTTTCCATGTATTTATGGCTCCTGAAAACGAATCTGACAATAAAATTTGGCGGTCAATTATACTTTGGCCGTCATTTTGAAAAAAACTGCCAAAAAATCATTTTGGTAATTAGACAGAATACCTCCCCCACCTCCGATTTCGATAAAATTTGGCTCATTCGACGCGTTTTTACATGAAACGAAAGAATCTGGCAGAAATAAGCGTCGCTCTCCCCCGCGAACCGTGATATTTAGCATTAAAGTTGACGACTTCATTCAGATTAGGAAATCTGTCACAGCCCTACAATCGCCATGTCTTCTACATGCATTTCTATGTCATGCGCATGCGCCTTGTTACTTGTCGGTCCGACAGGCACCAAATTTTAAATGTATGAATTAGTTACTCGTACAATGTTTCTATTATACGTAGTTCTATTCCAAATAAATCAAAACCCATGTGAACAGAGGAGTGTGTAGACAGTAATGCTTAGGCTACGCCACCCCGAACAAAATAAAAATAACATATCGTAGCTGCTTGGGGCCTAACCGCTTAAAAGTTACAGCGTAGACAGTGTCCGCTTGGAATATTCTTAACCCATGAAGATTTTTCTCGCGTAGGATTTACCTCGCGTAGAAAATAAAAACCTATGTGCAACAATACAATTATGGAAGTCGTGCGCCCCTCGTTTCACATAGAAAGTCGTAAACCGTTAAGTTTGCGAACATTATACATAGAACCTTTTTTGTAGAGAGTTTAAAGGGCTTCATTTTTTGTTTGAAACTTTTTTTTTGTGAAATCAATATTTTCTGAGATATGCATTAAAAGAGCGAAAAAAAAACGATTTTTTGACAGTTTTTTCAAAATGAACGGCCAAAGTATGATTGACCGCCAAATTTTATTGTCAGATTCGTTTTCAGGAGCCAAAAATACATGGAAAAAATGTATTTGCATTAAAATTGTAGATG